CCCATCGCCCAGACAGGACTCCACCGAGACCCCGCCCACCGCGCCACGCCCACTGGTATTAAGCCCCGCCCCTGCTGGTTTTAGGCTCTAAACTCATTCATCAATTTCTAAGGCCCCGCCCCCAGTCCTGGGACCTGCCTAAGGCAGGGCAAGGCCGTGCTCCGGCTGTGGCGCAGGGCTCACCTCGCTGAACGCCCCGCGTCCGATCACCTTCAGGATCTCGAAGTCGTCCCTCTGCAGCCGGGCCTCCTTAAGCCTCGCCGCGATGGGCTCCACTGGGGGCGGGGCGGTGAGAACCGAGGGGAGGGTCACCGGGACTGACAGTGGAGACGAGGAGGAAGTCCCACACACTGTTCCTCAGTCTCCCCCTCTCTGATCCTCACTCTCTTGGCCTTCCCTTTATGACTGTTTGCCTCCCAAAGGCTTCCCCACATAAGCACTGGGTGAGGTTTGGGGGATGCAAAACTGCCCTCCTACAGAAGTGGGAGGCCCGGGAACCCCTTTTTGGGACCAGGCATGGGGTCAGGGCTCTGTGGGAGCAGGGGTGGGGTACAGGGACACAAGTCTGCAGAAAGGAGGCCCCGGAACAGAGGGAGGACAGCCCAGTTCTAGCTCCCTGGGCCCCCACACCCAATTGGGGTGATGGGAAAAGGGTCCGAACATGCAGCTTTACCCAGTCCCTCTAGGCTCAGAGGCAGGTGGCTCTTGGACCACACTTAGGGAAACAGTGGCTTGGGGGGCGGGGCCGAGAGAAGGAACTGAAGAGGGGACAAGGCCATGGTGGACCCGCATCCAGGGCTCCAGGCCCAGTTCAAATGTGTTCTCAGTCCTTGCAATCCAGGAGCAGCGCTCTATTCTCCCCTATTTACAGACGGGGACACAAGGCTCCGACAGGTGAACTCCTTTGCCCAAGGTCCTACAGCTAGGAATGCTAACGGGGCAGTGTGGGAATAGAGTGGGGAGTGGGGGCAGGAGACGCAGGGACTTGGGAGAGGGAGGCCTAGACCCCCAGGGGTGGAAGCCACTGGAGACCTCGGGGTGGGGTGGAGAGAGGACGGGGGTGAGTAGGAATGAGGGGAGATACAGTGGTTATGGAGGAGAGAGGCGTCCAGATGGGGTTCGGGGAGAGTGGGCCAGCAGGGAAGAACCAGCGAGGGCCCAGGATTGGGGAGGGAGGAGAGAGCCAAGACATTGAGCCCTTTTAAGGCAGTGGGAACCCAGGCCCCCTCCCCCGCCCAAGCCCGCAGGGGAGGGACCGCAGGGTACTGCTCGGGCCACAAAAGGAGTGCTCCTCCCAGGGGAGCCGGACCCCTGCCCCCACCACAGGTCTCAGTTTACCCCGAAGGTCAAACTTCATCCCCTGCAAAAAGGCGCCTACGAGAGTTGCTAAGGGGCTGGGGTGGGTGGGGGTAAGGTTCTTCCAGAGCTGAGTGGCCTGGCCCCTGACCTCCACCTTCCCATCTGCAAATTGGGAGGCAGGAGAGGAGCAGGGCCTGGGTTCCGAAGAGATGGACACAAGGAAAGAAGGGGCGGGAGAAGACAGGAAGAGGAAAACCACGGACAGAGGGAGCCTAAGGACCCAGAGCAAGCCGTGGAGGGACAGGCCGTGGAGGGACAGGCCGTGGAGGGACAGTGGCAGACTGTCACAGAGACAGGCGCCCCAGTGAGCCTGAGTCCCGGGTCAGGAGAGGGTGGGGACAGGCGAGGCAGGAGGCGGAGGTTCAAGCATCTTCCCTCTGGAGGACTGGACCTATTTCTGGGGAAGACTTGGCAGGAAGGGGCTTTGTGGGAGAAGCCGAGGACGGAGGTCATGAAGGAGAATGAACGGGTCTGTGGAGCTGGAGTGAAGGCTGACCCTGCAGACTAAAAGGGACCAAAATGGATGGGCGGTTCCTCCTCCTGGGGGTAGACGGGGGACAGGGAGGCTCCTGTCTGGAGCTGGTTGTCCCCTAGGGCCTGCCTGAGTCACTGAGCCTGTCAGTGCCTGGGCACCTGTTGGGGCAGCTGGAGAGGCTGGCGCCTAACACCTGCCCATGGACCGCGCCCCTGGCAGCTGCCCCATCCTGTCTCTGTGCGAGCCCCTTGCTCTGGGAACCAGGGTGGAGGCCATCGGGCCCATTTTGGTGTGTGCGGGCACCTAAGAGACAGGAGTCCCAGCATGTCCCTAGGCCTGGACTGGGGGGTAGGGGTGCAGGGGGCCATGGGGGGCTGATCCCAGCCCAGCCTACCATGGCTCCCAAGTCATGGTTCTGAGTCATGGTTGCCCTGGCCTCTGCTGACCCCACTCTGCCCGGCAAGAGTGGTACAGGGGTAGGGGCATGTCACCCAAAGACCCAGGCCCAAGCTCTGGGCCCCTGAATGGGAAGCTCTCCCCATGTCTGCCCTGCCCTCCAAGAGTCTCTGACACCCAATCTCATTCCCTGCCTCTGCCCTACCCCCACCTCCCAGTGGGGAGGGGGCATGCAGGCAGGTACTCACCCCACTGCAAGAAGTCGGCCACATACTTGTCCTGGGCCAGGTCGGAGGCACCCAGCTCCTGGTGGACGCCCAGGAGAAGGTCGAGCAGGGGCTCCAGCCCCAGGAAGCCGGGGTCCAGCACCAGCTGCTGGAGCCGCCTCAGCCGCACCTCGGCTGACATGTTGGGCAGGCAGCACCATGGCCCCCTCCCCGGGCCAGGGGCTCGGGGTCCTCTCGTCACGGGGCCTGGCAGCCCCTGTTCAGGCCCCAAGGCCCTGGCTGCATGTCTGCCTGTCCCTGGCTGTCCCCTGGGCCTCTGGCCACTTCTCTCTGCAGGCTGCAAAGGCCTCCTCCTCTTCTCCCCACCCCTTGACCAGCCCCCTCCCGCCTACCAGCCTTAACCCCTCACAAGCCAGGCCCCCCCAGAATGCTTCAGTGTGAGACTGGGGGGTAGAGAATCTCAACCATTCAACACCCCGCCCCCCAATAAAAGGCGGAGTACACAGGAAAGCTAAAGCAACAGGTGTGACGGGCCACAGCTGAGCCCTCCCATTCCCCAGAGGGGGCCAATTAAGGGCCAGTGACCTGGAACACTCCTCCCAAGCCCCGGAGTTGGGGGGAGGAGAAAGGGGTGAGGCCTGGGAAGGGGGGCAGGAGGCCAGGACAGCTTTGTGGGTGACTCAGCTGGGAGTCAGACTTTGGGACAGTTTAAATTTAGCCCTCAGGCCTTCTGCTTTACACTCTTTTTTTTTGGCAGGAGGTGGGGAAGGGGTGGTGAGAGAATTGGGAAGGGAGGCCCTCAGGAGCCAAGACCAGGGGTGACACTGGCCAAAGACTGGGGGAGGCAGAGGAGCCCCCAAAATAGCTCCTTGGGCCCGGCATGCAGCCACATTCCTGCCCGGGCCAAGATTAGAAACAAACACTTGGGGGGGGGGGGGGGGGGGGGGGGGGGGGGGGGGGGCCCCCCCCCCCCCCCCCCTCCCCTCTCTCACAAC